CCTGACCCCGCCGCCGGCCCTGAGCGGGAGCCTCTCGCCCCTGCCCGACCGGCGCGGCCCGGTTCAGAGACCCCCGGGGACGCGGGAGCCCGCAGCGAGGAGAACTCACCTACAGGGACACCGTCAGTCAGCGGCTCCAGCGCGCGCTCCGCTTCCCGCGCGCCCAGGCCCCGGCCCGTATTTGGACCATTGTTGATTGTTTTATGATTTGTATGTTCTCTATTTTTTTTAGTTTCTCAGAATTAGAAAAAATAGAAATTTGTGCGCCGCGGAGGCGTCCAATCAGGGCCAGCTCCTGCCCGCTCCGCTGAGCGCACCCGCGGCGGGAGGATGGGTGAGTCGTCCATTCATTCGTTCATCGCTTCTTCCCGTGTCGGTTCATTCTTCTAGCAACCATCCCAGCACATGCGCCACGCTGGGCCGCATGCTGACGCCGAGTCCCACCCTCGGGAAACGCACGGGCGGTAAGAGGAGGAAGGAGCGGCCCTGCAGGACCGGACCTCCCAGACCCGCCCGACTCCCGTCTTTCCCTGGGGCAGCGGGCTTTTGAGTTGTAACCTGTCTCGGGCCCTGTCTTGGTCTTTAGAATTTCAATCAATAAAAGACTGTCCTCGACATCCTGTAGTCATGTACGCAAGGAATTATAATAAAAAGGTAAAGTGGCCCTAGCCGGTTTGGTTCCGTGGGTAGAGCGTCGGCCCGCGGACTGAAGGGTCCTGGGTTCGATTCCGGTCCAAGGGCACATGCAGGGGTTTGGGGCTCGACCCCCAATAGGGGTCGTACAGGAGGCAGCCCTTCAATGAGTCTCTCATTGATGTTTCTATCTCCCTCTCCCTTCCTCTCTGAGATAAATTTAAAGATAAGTGAACGAAACCCGTGCTCTTACAGTCCCAAGGACAACGTTATTTCGGATGTGAAGGCTCCAAGGAAGAGTCTGAAGAGGAGGGGCATTTAAAAGCTTCAGGTGGTAGAGTTTGGGGTAAGCAGCTGGGAAGTGAGGACTCGCGCTAAAGAATATCACAGTGGCAACAGAGCAGAGTGGGAGCAGTGGGACCTGTGATGGGAAGGGATGAGTGGGCAATGGCCCGGAAGTTTTGCAGGCCAAGGGATTTTGCAAAAGGAATGCTACCCTGTGCAGCCTGGAAGAAAGCCTCCCCCAGGTGACTCTCCCATCCCCACATCCCCTCCTCTTTCTCCCTGGATGTCATGGCACTGAAATCAACCAGGTCTCTTTATCCTTTTGCGAACAAATATTGAGGTTTGTTCTTTATATATTGGCTTCTAAAAGATTTGGGACTTACACTCTGGACATACTTGAAAAAGTGTGTGTGGTGTCTATTAATTCGCATAATAACCTTTTTTATAATGTCTTGCAAGGGACGAGAAATAAATAAACATTAGGAGCAATTTGTTTGAATTTGATACAAATATGTATCTAATGTAAAGATAAAAACTTAAATATAAACTGGACGCATTTATATGTGTGCAACTACTATTTTCTGGAAGGACATACAAAACACAATGGTGGTTACCCCTTAGGGAGGTGGTGAGGAAGTCTTTCCACTCCACCATTCTGTTACAGTTCCAACTGTTTCCCCTTCCCCTCTTCACACATCCCAGTGAGAAAGTGGCCACACTGGTCCCCGCGTTCAACGTTTGCAAATGGTCCTGTCGGGTACTAATGAATGGTCCTTGGCTCTGATGGCTTACTGGGAGGCCTTAAAAACTACTGATACCTGGTCCAATCCCAAAGACTCTGACTTAATATGGGATGCAGCCTGGACCGGGAGTCTACAGGACTCCCCAGGTGGTTCTAATACGCCGCTGGGGGTGCGAACCACCAGTACATGCCATCTTAATCACTCCTCAATGACAACTAATGACCTAATGGGCTGTGTGACAGCAAGAATCAAGCATCTGGACCATGTGCCGTCAGCAGCAGCCTCTGCACGTCAGGAACGTGGGGCCCAGGTGATGGACATCTACATGACACGCCACTCCAGCCTGCTGTGTCAACTCAGAGCTTTCACTGATTTTGTAGCCTTAGCTGACTAAAGTGGGTCTTTGTTGGGATTGTGGACTACCTCCTCATGCTGTTTTTAGTTAGTATAAGCAACACTGCCCTCCTACACTAGCCTTTTACAAATGTAATTTAACAAAAAGGAAGGTAACTCTACCTAAATGGGATATATGCCAGGAGAGTCCATGTTGCTCTCGGTCAAACTCGTTAGCCTCTTTCTCTTCAATGAGGCAGCCAGGCAGCGTCCCCAACGCAGACACGCAGATCTTTGTGAAGGCCCTGACTGGTGAGGCCACTGTCCTTGAGGTCGAGCCCAGTGACATTGCTGAGAATGTCAAAGCTCAAATCCATGTGGGCAAACAGCTAGAGGACAGCCGAACTCTGATGACAACATTCACAGAGCCCACCCTGCACTTGGGGCCTCGTCTGTGGGTGCCGGCATCAGAGACTCCCTCCACTAGCTCGAGCAGAAGTACAACTGCAACAAAATGATCAGCAAGTGTTCCGCCCGCCTGAACCCCCTGCTGTCAAGCGCCTCAGGAAGTGCGGCCACACCAACAACCTGCACCCCAGAAGGCGGAGTAAGGCCCCTCCACCACCTCCTCAGCCCACAGGCGACCTTCTGCCTGACTCCTGTGACCCTGAGGCCTCACTCAAGTTGCTCTTTTATTGATTGACTGGAGCAGTTAAAAAAAAACAAAAAAAACCTGTTAGCCATATTTTCAAAAGAACCCTATCTTAGCAGTATTTTCTTAAAAGGTGAAAAATATACCAATACTTCCCCATTAAAAGCCAAATAATATCCATAAAATATATATTTTGCAAGAATATAGCTTACCAAAAGGAAGGAAAAAATAGCAAATTCCAGAAAGAATGGCTACATAAATACTCACAAACTTAGACTGCTGCCATTTAAACAGTTTCTCCAGCCGGGATGGTTAGACACAGAAAGCGCTTCTTCCCGAGTGTAACCATAGAGTGTAACCATACGTACTCATGCTCACACTCTCTCAGCGGGAGCTCAGTCTGAGTCTAATGAAACAGCCGGGTCTTCCAAATAGAACTGTAGCAAAATGTGCTCAACTTTAGGGTCCTTAGTGAATACAATTTTAGTTTTCAAAATATAACTTGAATACAGAATTCTTTAAAAGTAATATCTGAAGAATTAGCCATCATATATATTTTTATTATAAGAACTTTTAAGTTTGGGGCAGATACAATTGTGACAGAAAACCAGCTTCATACCAAAAATACACTTTCAATTACTTTAACAAGCAAATAAAACAATCTTCATTTATTTGCTTTTTCTGAACTTAATGTACAGTAAAAATTTTATATTCTATGTGACAGATATGTCATTAAACATACAAAAAAAGAACATGTATTGAATGTTCAAAAAAAGTAAAAATAAATAGCAATGATAAAACTTTGGAAAAAATAATGCACATTTTAGTTGTGGGAAATTAATTATATATACACAGTTAAACTTAATAGAAAGTCATCTCTTTAAAATTGCACAAAACAAGGGTCCAAGAAAAGCAATTTAATGGCATGTGATACCATAATCATAGGGCAATTTGTTAACTCCAGGACATAGAACACTTAGGTTTGTAATCCAATGAAAGGTATGCAGTATTGTTCGAGAAAGATTGTCTTCCCCAACTCACTTAACCTGTAGTGATCCTATAAAAAAGGCTGCACAGGAAATTTCATTAAAATAAGTATTAGCAATTATTGTGCCCACTCCATGCTAAGCAGCCAAAAATGGGCTTAAAAGTAAACATGGTCACACAGTTAATATACTTGATAATTTTTTATACTAAAGATTATTTCTTTGTTGTATAAAAACACTTTAACGATGATTGGCAATCTCAGCATGAAAATATCCCGGCAAAGTGGATGGAGACAGTTTCTGCTTACCTTATTTTCATGAAAAAAATATTTCAGGAGATAAGCATTTATAGAAAAGGAAAGTTAATGCTCAATTCACTTATAACTTATCAGGAGTATTAATCCATTTTTTACAAATGCCTATTTAAACTTCTCTGTAAGAAAATGAAAGGTAGCATTTCCATTTGCATTTATGTATGGCACAGCCCTCACTCGGTTCAGATAAAAATACACTTTGGGAAACCAGAAAAGATTGCACAAAGGTTAGGGGCAACCTGAAAACCTCTTGGTGAAAAACACTTATGTCCTTTAGGGCAATAAAAAAATATGTGCAGACTTAATTACAAATATTTACATTTTAAAACAGAAACATGAGTTAGCTATTCAGCTGCTCAATATCAATGATTCACAGGCATTTCAAACGGTGTGATAATGTGTCCACACGTTTGTGGCCACATTTGAATGCATAGGATAGAGTAAAGATTATGGTTCTTCAGTCTGTCACCTATTATGTCTATAAAACAAAATTATTTACATTTTGAAAGCTGTACAACCAAAAGGACTGAGCAAATAGTTTTATTTTATCGAATAATATAGACTTTAAGAACTACTGATTTCACTCATTTGTTCGACAACTTGTCCTAAAATCTCATCAACGACATCGACATCATAATTCACTTGCTGAAGATCGAGGTCAGGTACAATCATGGCCAGCAGTTGTCCCACATTAACTCGGAGAGATCGCAGTTTGAAGCTGCAAATACAAATATTACGTTTATTTAAAGAAACAACTATTACATTTATTAGATGAACACTGCAATACAATTTAACAGCTACGTAGGGCTTAATATTTTAGGGGAAATTAATCTGCTAATTTAATCACTCATAACGCAATGTAATAATTACGTATATATTGGCGGTCAGTAGTGTTTCATAACACTAGTGGCTCTTTGGCTCCAACTTTTACAATTTTGACCTGAGACTGGAGAAAACATAGACCGGTAAAATATATAACTTATCACCTAGAAAACAGTGACATACAGTAAGAACCCTGGTTGGTCTAAGATAAGAGTGCATCTCTGACTTTCAGCTGCCTTTGAAGAAAGTAGACAGAACTGTTCCCTAACACATGTTCTATGAGATATCATCGCCTTGTGAGAGGAGAAAGAAATGAGTCTGTGGTCAAAGACGCTCATAAAACATTGGGTTAATTAATGTTAAACAAGACTTTTTAAAATGCAAGACTTCATGCTGAAGATCACCGACTACCCATTTTTTAAATGCATTTACAGGAAACCAATGTGTCTCTCTCACTTCGATGTCTCTCTCTTTCACTCTCCTCCCTCCCTTCCCTTCCACTCTCTCTACAAGCAATGGAAAAAATATCCCCAGGTGAGGCTTACAAAATAAATAAATAAAACATCATGAGTCACTCAGAGGTTAGTGCGCCAGAGGCATCTGGGATCCTGCTTCCGTGTGCAGTGTATCACACTGCACTGCGGTCAACTACCTGCACTTCTACCAGCACCAGGGATGCGGGTGGTCTGAGAAACACCAGCAGAGAGTTTTTCCCTGAACCCTTTCCCTCCATGCTTATGTGCAGCACTCTATTGTTTCTATTTCCATGAACAGACTCAGTGAAGTTCTTCAAAAACTTAAGCTAGAAAACAAAGTAATAATATAACTGATGGTCAAGTGAGGGTAGTAGATTATTGCTCAACGGTACCTTTTAGCTCTGAAGTCCTATCATATTAGCCCTTCATGTCTTATTTATGAATGGTATACCATCAACACAGCACCAACACTGTCCCCCCTCCCACCTAACTTCTCCACTCTCAAAAACAAAACAAATCGAAACGGAAACCCAGTTCCATTTTATACCTGACTGAGATAGGTGGGGGTAATCATTCATTTGCTGTTTTCTGATTTTCACAGAACTTCTTCCTAATAATCACCTGTACTATGGCAATTTTTAATGACGGTGGCATTTCCTAAAAGTTAAGATGGGGGAAGGCACATAGTAGTAAAATGAGGATGGCAGACCATAAAGAAATGGTGCCAAATACAAAAGTAAAAGAAATCAAACATTCCAAACCACCCTGACCAATCAAGAGCTAGTCCTTCGGAACTCCTATTTCACTTAAGTTGAACCTAAACTGTTCATCTCTGAAGGGAAGGGTGATAACATGCACTCCTTTTCTCTCTCATCTATCACCATGCTGGGATCACAGCAGTCAATAGCTTCTTAGAGTAGCTGTTAGATGTGTGATAGCAAATTAGTATCTCGCTAACCAGAACTGCAGCGCAGCAAAGTGCCTCAACTGAAATTACCTTTCCCCATCAGCATAATTTACAGACTCCTCAATGTTACTTGAAGTTGAAACATCTGTTCCTCTTTGTTGACTTGCAGATTTTAATTGTTCAATTTCAGTTTTCAGTTCTTCACACTGTGAACGAATTTGTGATTTCTCTATTTGCAGTAATTCAACCTGACAAGAAAATTAAATTTACTATAAAATTTAGAAATACTGATATCAAAGCACAAATTTAAGCTAAGAAATGTACAAAACCTGCTTGATGAAAATTACCACCAAAAAAATTAGACAAAACCCCCAATAGCTTTCAGTGTTTAATTTCATTTTTCCACCTTTTTACATTGAAAGGAAACAAAATGTCCATTACAACTTACTAAAAACATATATGCTTCCTAAAAACTCAGAAACCAAGATTAAAATGCCTACGTGACGTTGATGTCACAGAGGCTTCTGTTCGGGCACACTTCCCGCTCTAAGTTATAGCAGGAAGCTTAGACTGACTTTGATCGATGATGTCACCTAGCTCCTAAACCAGTAACACGAAGATGAAAGTCTGACTGAGCAGTTATGTCAGCAGCATCTCCAGGGGAGGGCAATACTATTGTTTCCAAACTTTATTTAGCAGAGAAAAACCCTCCGTTCAAACACCACGTAAATATGATACATAAAATAGATGTTCTTTAAAAAGGAGCTACCAAATTTGACCTGGGGGCAGTGCAGAGGCCACTACTTAGCTCCTGATACTAAAATCTCCTTTTTCCTCAGTAAAGAACCCCCAAACAGACTGCAGGTCCAAGGCACCCATTAGCCAGGTACCTTAAGTCCCAACAGATGGAATATACAACTTTCAGCAACAGCCTCCTCCTTCCTTCTGCTGGGAATGTTAGCTACATGATGGCTGGGCCTGAAAAGCCAGCTCAGACCACAACTGCACGCTGTGAAGCAAAGGAGCCCAGCAATGTCCTGTGCACTACAGGACATGACCAGACCGGTCACCACCGCTGAGTCCCAGCAGTGCCCATCTATCTCCAGACAGTTTAAGAACCAAAACTACCCCCACACGTTTCCATATGCCCCAGGCCCAATCCCCAGTGGAGAACCAGGACAGTGACATGCAATGAGCGGAAATTCGTACTAAGCAGTGTGTTCCAACCCGGCAGCTGGCAGTGGTCTCAGGCCGAGATGGCCCTGGATTCCTACGGCACCAGGAAGCTGAGTGACAGAACTCACCTCACTTTTATACTGGTCCCTCTCGACAGTGCATTTGTCCAGCTGTCTAAACACATCATCCAGCTGCATGACCATTTCGTCCATCTCACTTTTACTCTCACTATTGGAACACTGACTGCATTCGTGCTTCACGTGCTGCGAAGCGCTGCACTGTTTCTTCAGCCTTTCTATCTCGTCCAGCGCTTGCCGGTACTGAGATGCCACGTGGTCTAGACTTTCAGATTGGCCATTAATGCTTTCAAGTAAATACACAGCATCAGTTTCGGTAGATTGATGGCAGGTTTCCTTCTTCATGTATTTGTCATTCATTTCCAGTATCCTCTGTTGTAACTGCCTGATTTGGTCAGTAAACATATGACACTGTCTTTTATAATCTTCTTTTTCTTGGGTAACTAGAAGCAGCTCATTTCTCAGTTCATTTACCCGGCACCCAGCATCACCCACAGCTTTATCAAAGGTCTCCTGCATTTCCTGTGGCTTCCCTTCAGCTTCCACACAGGATGGCAGTGCAGCTGTATCGTTTCTTGTATTGATGTCATCTTCAATCGTTTCTTCCTTTTTAACCACCACACCTGGGACTTCAGTCTGGGTGGCCACAGCAGTTGCCTGATCACACCTGGCTGGCAAGGTGCCTGTTGAACTAGTCTGGTCACAAGGTTCACTGTCACCCATAGGCTCGTCCTGAAGCATGTCACCCATACTTTGCTCGATGTGACTCTGTTCTGGTTTCATGTCAACATTCTGATGATCTATTGCAGGCTTGGGAGTACTGTTCTCTTCTAAGATGATGACATCTTCATCATCCTCTCTAGAAGCTGGATTTTCAAATGCTTGATTACTCAATCTCGGAGTCTTTGCATTCAAAATTGAGGAACGAATAGGAAGTCTCCGTTTCATGCTGGAAAAGATTTTACATGCAAATTAAGTTTTGAAATATAGATATGAACAAAATAGATGGCTTTGAATTACTCTACCTTAAAATTTGATGAAATACTCATGCTTATTTTTTAAAGCAGTGATATATTATTCCACAGTACTACCCAATGAGTTAATGGAGTACAGAACATCTTCTCCCTCTACACCTGAGAAAACACCGCTGAGATGTCTTTGAAGTATCAGATCTGTATACTGCCAACATCTCTTCACTTGCTGTCCTCTGGGCATTTCAAGGTACCCATGTCCAACCCAGAATGCACCACCCACCACAGATCTGCCCTTTGTATTCTAGAGCTCAGTGAGTGGCACTGCCATCCCCATCTGCCCATCATGACCTGTATCAACATTCAGTGATCAAGTGAGCCACTAAGTAAACCAGTATACTCAATCCTTTCATATAAAACAATATTCCCTCATTAAAAATTGCCTCATTTTCTTCATTTCCTTAGCTTTCTCTGAATTTTCACCAATTGATTACTTTTTGTGCCACTTAAAGGGAATTTGTACTCGTTTCCTGTTTGGGCCTTCTGTGTCAGATCTCAGGTTTCCTTGATTTAAGAAAGATTTTCTGCCCCAGTCAGGTGGCTCAGTTGGTTGGAACATCATCCCATGCACTGAAAGGTTCGATTCCTAGTCAGGGCACATACCTAGGTGGCAGATACGATCCCGGTAGGGGTGCATACGGGAGGCAATGGCTGGATGTTTCTTTCTGACATCAGTATTTCTATCTCTTCCCCCTCTTCCTCTCTCACAGAAATAAAAAATAAAGTATCCTAACAGGATTGAAAATAAAGAACTTCCTTTCTTGGCTTACTCTCTATCGAAGGGGTACAAACTCTAATAAAATCTTGAGAAAGCACACACAGGACATAAAAAGTGTAAAATTTTGCATCATGATGATGTATTTACTTCTTGTGTTTACTGGCTTGGTTTCATACAGACTTTCAGGTTGGAAGTTACTTTCTCAAAACTTTAGAAGCATCGCTGATTTCCATCTACCATTCAGTGTGTCTGCCTGTCTCACCCTGCCTTTGTGCACTTTGTTCCTCCTACCAGCAGCTCTGTTCCCCCATGTCTAAAGCTCCATGACATGCCCTAGCCGGTTTGGCTCAGTGGATAGAGCGTCGGCCTGCAGAATGAAGAGTCCCAGGTTCGATTTTGGCCAAGGGTACATGCCTGGGTTTATGGGCTCGATCCCCAGTAGGAAGCCTGCAGGAGGCAGCTGATCAATGATTCTCTCTCATCATTGATGTTTCTATCTCTCTCTCTCTCCCTTCCTCTCTGAAATCAATAAATAAATATATTTAAAAACAAAAAAACTCCATGATGCTACTTGGAATGGTGCTTTCCCAGACATTATGCTGTGTGTGTAGTGGAATGAAGTCTTTCTTCCATTATTTCCTCCCCTTTGTTTTCCAATTACCTACTAAGATGTTGCCCTTCCCATCTCTTTTTCTACCTCCCAACTGCTCATCTTTCCATTCCAAGAGGCTTACCTGTCCAACATCTACCCACCTCCCAGTAAGTGTAGCATGGTCTCTTCCCTCCCTTCCTTTCAGCTTGTGCATGGCGATCCTTGGCCATCTATCTCTTTCTATTGCACAGTGAGGGCTGGGCTTGTGATTCAAGAGCACTCAAACACTCCGCATCCAGAGCTTTTACCCTGGGAACCCAGCGAGGGGGGGAGAGGGATTTCTCACCACCCAGTATTCAAACTTGCGCTTACTCCTGTTTTCCAAACAGTGGCGCACCGACACCTTCAGCAGAAAACACTGCTCCAGAAGGTCACCTTCCCACCTCCTGACACAACGAGAGCAAACAAGCCTCCTGTTCTTGGCCTAGTCTGCACCTTCAGAAGAACCGGTGTTTCCAAGTTCTGAGTCTGTCCAGAGGTCTCTGGAGTTAACCAGTTGATAGGGCATCGCCCCATTATTTTTCTTACAAGGCTTATTCCTAATCTGTCATTGTCAAGACCTACTTTGTCATTGCAACAGACTTTGACTCTATGAATTTGAGGAATATAGGCTTTAAAATTAATGAAAATTTTCTCTCTATTCTTTGCTTTCATTTTAATGATAGTCACTTTTAAAAATAAATTCCATCATTTTTTCTCTGTAAACTACAGATTTTTCTTTTTCTTACTTTGGAACCATCTTTATGAAGAAAAACCAAGAATACAAAGGAGACTGGTTTTAAAAAATTCACACAAGTTTTTTTTAAATTATATTTTATTGAATTTTTTTACAGAGAGGAAGGGAGAGGGATAGAGAATTAGAAACATCAATGAGAGAGAAACATCGATCAGCTGCCTCCTGTACACCTCCTACTGGGGATATGCCCGCAACCAAGGTACATGCCCCTGACCGGAATCGAACCCGGGACCCTTCAGTCCGCAGGCCGACGCTCCATCCACTGAGCCAAACCAGCCAGGGCTTCACACAAGTTTTTAGTTAAGTAGCAGTCCAACCCCAAAAGAAGTGCCCTAAATGTGGGCTGTAAGGGCAAACTGTTTAGAGCATATGCTCCATGTACATATGCAGAAAGGCAGCTATTTCTACTCTTTCCTAAGGTCACAAATCCCCTGGAGAATTTAATGAAGGTCACAAAACCTCTGGGAAAATCTGGCTTCACTATCTCAGAGAACCTTGTTCCAATGCTTCTCTTTCAACAATAAACATCAGGTGTAGTCGGTCTGATCCACCAGTTCGCTTACCTCACCTGATCTTTCCTCACCTGGTCATTCCATCCCCTCTGAACGGGCTCTGTGCAGTCCTGCTTTCAGGAACCAACCGAAGTACAACCTCATCCCGAAGCCTCCCAGGCCATTCCAGTCAAGAGCTGGAAATAACCGTTCAATCCACTATCACTCATCCCTTTCTTTCCTTCCTTCTCCAACCACTCCTCCAAAACATACCGTGTCACGGGCTATGCTAAAAATGTATAGGTCACACCTGACATTATAATATTACTAGAGGCCTGGTGCACGGATTCGTGCACAGGTGGGCTGGGGTCCGGCCAGCCCGCCTGGATCAGGGCTGATGGGGCCATTGCACCTGATGGGGTGGGGAGGGGATGATCGGGGGCAGGCCAGGGTAGGGGCTGCAGGCGGTTGGCTGGCCAGCCCCGCCCCCTGGTTGAACTCCAGGTAGAGGGGACAATTTGCATATTGGCCCTCTATTATACTGAATACTGTTAATTATTTTATTTTTTTCCTTTACTTAGATACTGATAATCCTAAAAGCAGAAACCACCCTGGGAGTGTGGCTCAGCTGGTTGGAGCATCACCCCTTACAACAAAAATTTGCAGGTTCAATTCCCAGTCAGGGCAAGTAAGGGAGGCAACCAATTCATGTTTTTCTCTCACATCAATGTTTCCAACCCCCCTTTCTCTCTCAAAAGAAAAAAAAAATCAATAAAAACATCCTCAGGTAAGGAGTAAAAAAGAAAAAGCAGAAAATTTCATGCTCTAGAAAATAGAGGTGACAATTTGATCAAATTCCACAATAAATACACTTAATATTTTTAATTGATTTAAATAGGTGGCATAAGTGGGATGGGATAAGTACGTGCGGACACGATAAGCAGTCACTTGTCCTGTAGACTTTTTACATGCACCTAAACTACAATTTCTTAGACGTGCCTACAAGTGCCCAGGAAAGGCTCTAACTGTCTCCCCCATGGAAAGCACATTTTTGCCACTGACCTGTTGCTCTCAGGCTCAGACTGGGGTGAACCCCTGTTGTTTACAAGTCGTGCTGCGTAAGTATTCGCTGCTTCTGAAAGATGTCCTCTTGGAACACTGTCCTTCACGGGAGAAATACTTGGCAAAGGGATTGTTGAAAACAACAGTTCAGTATTAATCTGTTGGAGGGGAAAAAAATTCTTAAAGGAAATTTTTAATGTGCAAGGCCCAAAACAATACATTATTTTCCCTTTTCCCTTACTCAGAAGATGCTGAGAACTATCCTACCCTGTAACTTCCCTGTGCTACACAAGGGAGCAAAATATAATAGGCCAATGAGCCCCATCCATCCTGCGAGTGAGCTAAGAATGGTTTTACGTTTTTTAAGGTGTGAACAAAACAAATGAAAACTATGCAACAGAGACTATCTGTAGTCCACAAGGCCCAAAACATTTACTATCAGGCCTTTTACAGAAAGGATTTCTTGGCCCTGTACTATATATAGAAATTACCGAGATATAACAACTTTTTTCTAAGAGAAATAAGTTAAAAATAGTCATAAAGATACTCCCTTTAAAAACAAGTAAGCCCACTATTCTTACCACCCCACGAGTTCTGTTCTCACCCCCAAATCCTAAGCCTGGTACAAGGAAACATTTCAACAATTATAAGCAAACACACATGTGCAGCAGACCAAAACTTCCCACACAAGTAGGACCCCTAGTCACATACTCAGAACAGCTCCTCAGCACCAGTGAGCAATCAGAAAGAAAGAAAGGGGCAGGGAGAGTGCTCAGTGAAGAGGAAGAGAACCCCACAGCTTCGGTCCAGGTAGCACTGGAACCTAGCTCCTGGGTGTTCCTGCGTACTTTTCCTTGACTGCCTGGCAACAGGGTTCTAAAAAGAATGTCTGCCTTTCCGCAGAAGATGCCCAACTAAATAATAAAACTGAACAGCTCAGCACAGCCAGTGTGGCTCAGTGGTTGAGCATCAACCCAAGAGGTCGCCAATTCCTGGTCAAGGCACATGCCCGGGTTTCGGGATCAATCCCCAGTAGGAGGTGTGCAGGATGCAGACAAGTGATCGTTCCATCAATGTTTGTCTCTCATTGGTGATGTTTCCATCTCCTTT